ATAACATATACTTACTGGTCAAACGAAGCATTTGCTACTCTTGCACTGATAATGAATTGGAAAATGTAATTTTGTTTGTAATATTGCTAAAAGCCTATAAACACAGTTTAAAGTCACAATTAATTGATCACTGGGTGGTGACCAATGTCATGTGAGTCAAGTCCTTATTAGTGCAGATCGAATGCTATCGACCATGATGCAATTTGGCCACCAGTCTAGGTGGCTGGTGCCCTATTGTGCGATTAGATGTTGGTTGAAGGTAGTCGACAGGAAATCTTGGACCCGGGTTTCGTGCTACTTGACACTCATCAGCAAGGTGTACCTGTAATCTTGAGGAAACTAGTGCTCGCTGACGGATTCGATCCTGTGTCACTCAGCTTTACAGTCAGAGCCGTTACACCTGAGCTATATGGGGAGCGCCAGTTCTCTCAAGATTACATGTCCACCTTGCTGACGAGTGTCAAGTAGCACGAAACCTGGGTTCAGGGTTTCCTGTCGACTACCTCCAACCACCATCTAACAGTTTATGGTCTACTACTCGTATAAAAGTTGTAAAATAAAACCATAGTTTTAAGGGTCTCTACAATACAAATTTCAAATATTGAATCGATGATCTTACTGAATCTTAACAACTTATGGTTCAATAATATAAGATATTTATTGTGGTGCTAATGGGTTCTCTAAACTAACCAGTTTGCATATGAAGCTTTCATTGTCGTTCTGGACAACATTACCGGAGAATACTTTATACAAAATTAAATTTTTTACTCAGTTCTTAAGTGTTAAATCAATTTGTTCTGATGGTCATGTTTGTGACTGGCTATTGTTTCTGGTTTCATTGTTTATTGCTTATCATTATACTAAGAAGTTATTGATAGTTGTCTAAAAGGCATTACATTTTGTTGCATTGCATTAATATTAAATATAAACTAATGAAGAATTATTATTAAAGTGAGAAATCTGAACGTAAATTCTCTGATTTCATGTATACAACCATTCAATGATATAAACCTCATTTACAAGTTTGTTTTGAATTCATATTAACAAAATTCATATAGTCTTTTTTCTTTGACAACAGCATAGATTTATGATTGAGATCATGAGCCGATTGATGTTAGACCATCACAATTGAAAACCTGGAAGCACTGGACGGTCGTTTCGTCCTATTGTGAGACTCCTCAGCAGTGCGCATCCACGATCCCTCGAGTGGGATTCGAACCCAGGGCCTTCGGCCTCGCGCGCGAACGCGAGCCGGCATCCAATGATGTTGGTTTCTAACATCAACCAATCCACGGAATCGCGCGCTGCTGAGGAGTCCCACAATAGGACGAAATGGCCGTCCAGTGCTTCCAGGTTTTCAATTGTGATGGTCTAACATCAATTGGTTCATGATCTCAATCAAAAACCTAATAATCTCCACAACCCCTATACTAGTATAGATTTAGTTAAGAAAATATGATGATATTATTATCATCAGAAGAGGATTTTGTGGAGATTTCAGTAATTTTAATAGTTAAATTCATGAATGAAGTCAAGCTAGACCGTCATGGAAAAACTTGAAAACAACCGTCCAGTACTTCCACTTTTCTCAAAGTGGTTTAACCTTAATTGGCTATTAAATATTATTATCAGTTATATGACGTCAAGTCAAACATCGTTTGATGATTTCGATTTTTCTTTTTTTTAAAAATACAGTGATATGAACAACATGTAAATAAACTAAATTTCTATTAAATCAAAACTAAATATCAACAATAGTAGTATCTAAATCTTAAGGCTACTTATTAATGTATTAATAACATTTAAGACTAGATATCTATTAAACATAAATAACAGATTATATTATTGAATAACTAATATAATGGATCTTCTAAACTAATCAACATAAATCATTCTATATTCCTACAGATATTATAAGTAGTATAAAGAACTAAACTTTATATATGATAATTTCATAATAATAATAATAATAATAATAATAATAATAATATCTAATACATTTATTTACAATTAGATTTAGGTGTTTAATTATACTCGATGTGAATTGTACCATGTTTACATATGTTAAATTGATTTTTCTTTTGTATGTTTATAAAATTTAAATAAATACTATTGTAAAGGCTAATTTCCTCTATATTTGACTCTAATAAATAGTATCCCATTAACTGAGTATTTGATGCAGGCTTAATCTCTTTGCTCGAGATTATTCAAAAGCCTAAATATTAGTTATAGAGATAGTTTATTGTAAAAGAATGGTAAAATCCACAAGTGTACAGAAAGCGAACACACAAGGAAAACATGTGTGTGTGTGTGTGTGTGTTAAAAATTCATATACATTTATGAGTCATAATCAAGTGTGGATAAATTATTGACTGTCTGTGTATTACAACCAATAAGAGTTTAAATTAAAAATTGATGTGCAGACATGTGCTCAATCATATTCACACAGATATTTACATAGTGAATTTAATATCTAAATTACAATGAATAGATAAAGAATACAAGCAGTTAGTTGAATGGGCTTATTACACTAACACAAAATTTTCATTAATCTACTTAATAATTAAAGGTAAGAAAAACAAAATTTATAAAAATTGTGTTTCATTTATCGATTTTTATTATTTATTTATTTCTATTTAAAAGAAAAAAAATCAATCAGAATTTCAATAGTTCAATTGTAAATAATAAATATCATCATTTACAATTGACATTCATAAAGTTATTCAAGGTCAAAGTAAAATCTATAAAAAAACAAACAATAATAATAATACTAATTAGTTAAAACAGTTTCAAGAATTCAGTTTATTATGTTTATTAGTATTGACTATGCTGAAAATTTATATATAACTTTCCAGTTCATCATATGCATTATATTAACAAAAAACAAACAATAACATAATCTTTCAAGTGTAAGTGAACAATTAAAATAGAATAGTAAGTCAATGATGATATAATTTTATTGAATATAAGATAGTAAATTAGTTATTTATCGTTGTATTCATTTTGATGATGCAAAATGCTTTCTATCCTCCTATAGATATACATTTTTCATATACCTATATATATATATACCTATATATATATATATATATATATATATATATATATATATATATATATATATATATATATATATATATATATATATATATATATATATATATGAATGTACAGCTTAAGTAAATGATTTCATTGAAAAGAAAATGTTCTTCATTGAATTCATTTCTTTCTTATTTAATAAATTATTAAATTAATTAAATAGATTTTATAGATTAATAATGAATTATTATTATGGAAAATTATAAAAAGTCTATCTAACTTTAATTGATTCATAATTTCAACTATTGAAATATTTAAAATCTTTATAAAACCTCATTTCTATTATTATTAAATGGACAATTTAAATGTAGTACCAAGAAATTGTTTAAAATATCAACAATTTTTTTTATTAAAAAAAAAAGAGATTTAACTCATCAGGTAAACAGATTTTTGTTTTCAAATAATTCTATGTTTTTTTGTTTTAAATTATTTTTGAAGAAAAAAATATGCTTTACAATTTAACATTCATTTAATCAAAGGTTAAAATTGATTTAATTTATTGATATTTTCGTTTATATATATATATATATATATATATATATACGATAGTACAGTTTGATAATAAATAATAAGATCCCTTTGGTGAACTTTGTGTTATTTAATTTTAATGTTTAAAATGGGAATGATTTGTCAATTTTTTTGTTTTAATCAATTCATTAAATGGATAATAATAATGATAATACTCTTACAATTGATTGATCACTGGGTGGTGATCAATCTCTTGCTTGTCTAGTCCTTATTAATGCAGATCGAATGCTATCGATCATGTTGCAATGTGGCCACCAGTCTAGGTGACTCGACACTGTGGGCACTATGTATTGAGATTTAGATGGTGGTTGGAGGTAGTCAACAGGACTACCTCCAACCATCATCTAAATCTCAATGATAATACTCAAATATGTCAAGTAAAATGTATTATTAATACTAATAAACTATAATGAAAAAACATAGTCTATAAACTAATAAAACAATATGAAGTAAATTCAACGATTCGCCTGGTAATCTGGTTCATGCTTTATCAAGGAATATATGATCAAACAACAAAATTATCAATTGCCAGGTGAAACGTTGGATTTACTTTAAATTCTTCCGCTGATATTTTACAAATACATTCTTCCTTTTTAATAACTCACATTAATTCGGTGCCCAAATAATATTGTGTAACTATTCGTTCAAATTTACACGAAAGTTCTTATTTTAATAAAAAACAATATCTTACATGTATAGATGGAATAATTATATCCAATTGAAAATTCAAGATAGAGTATATTTCCCATTCATGCTGTGTTGATTTGTATATTTAGATAAAATGGATAAGTATTACTTTTCTTTTTCTTTTTAATGAAGTCGATTTGTTTCTACCGAATTTTCTTAATTAGTATAATGTATCGTGTTTATAAAATTTAGAATCCATAAAGAATGTTAAGTTTATTCACCAATTTGTATATGAAATCACCTCAATTGATTATATATATTCATTGTGGTTTGTTTCTAAGGTTATTTAAAATAGAATTTATTAGACTATACATATTATTTTTTTTTTATTATTTTTACTCATCAACAGTTAATAAAGCGTGGGTGGTCATATTGTTAGTTTATTATCATTGCCTAAAATGAGACATGAATAGAAAGATAAGAATATTAATAGACAAGAAAAAAAAAAAGTGTATTTTAGTACACTAAACATCCTACGCATGATTATTTCATTGGTTAAGTCAAGGTTATAATTAATGAGTTAATTTTCCTATAGTTTTTATAGAATTGTGTAATTAAAATAATGAACGTATAATACGATTGGACAATTTAATTATCCATATTTTAAATGAATATTATAATTTTATTTAAACGTGATAAAATTTACACAGTAAAAATTAGTCTAAAAATATACTTAATTATAAAATATGAGTGATTCAAATAAATCTTACTGGTCATTTGAAGAAGAACATTGTTTACCTTACACTACTACTGTTACCAATACTATTAGTACTACAACAACTGCTACATTAACAATAACTACTACTGGTACTACTGACACAGATCATGTTAGTGGTAAAACCGATGCTTCATCTGTACATTTTCCATTAGTTTCTATGACTGTTCCAATTAGTACTTCAGATGTCATTTATCCAATTCATAGATTAGAAAGTCAATTTTTTGAAAGAACAATAGAAAGAAGAGGATTACAACATTCAGAAGGATTATATATTGAAAGTACTCCAATATGTAAGTAATATGCCGGTTATCAATAATGGTTAATTGATAAAACGATAATAAACCTGAATCATATTTTTATATATTTCCTATCAAAGTAATTAAAATATAAGCATAAACTTAAAAGTTGGTTTAGAACAATTCAATTGTTCTTTATTTCTATTAATAAATTATTAGGAAGTAGTACACTATTTATGTGCAGAGGATAGATTATAAATGGCAGCACTATTACTTTATTTTATTGTATTTATACTTTTTAAATACTTTGTAAAATATGACGAAGTTACGATAGAACAATGAGAAGACGGAGTTTATCTGAAAAATGTGATGTATTTGTGCTATACATTTCGAACAGTCTGGTCACACATATACTTGTCCAGCCATTTTTATATGAAAATCAATAAAGGTCAATTAAATAAAAGTTCAAGCAAAATAACAAGGAGGGGAGAAAGAATAAGAAATTGTTACGTTATCCTAGGCCATAAAATGACTTGAGGATTACCAAGTTGAATTCGAGGTTACCACAAATTGTTTTTGTACACATAAGGGGGGGGGTAAATTTACGAATAGCCAAGGCTTCAATAAACTTAAGAATTCATCCTTGACAATTTCTGTACAACGTTCTAAAAGCTGTATTAATGTCAATTTTGTGCCCCGTTTCATATAAAAATATGCCTTGACAAGTATATGTGTAACCATGTTGTTCGAAATATATAGCGCAAATACATCACATTTTTCAGGTAAAATCCGTCTTCTCACTGTTCTATCGAAATTTATCAAAGGAACTAGTTGCTTTAAATTCATGACAAAGTTAGTCAAAATTTCGGGATGATCTTAGATTATCAACTAACAACAATTTAGCGTCACATAAATTCGATTCGAATTTCTTTTATTTGACATTTATCTAAATGGGAACCAGTTCATTTCATATTAGATTAGTGAATTTAAACTTTCAGATAAGTATTAACAATGAACACTTTAATCATTTAACATCTAAGATTAAGTTTTTCACACATATTATGTAATAAGTTAAATGAGATATAAACTGTTCATGTCTAAAAAAAAATATAACACTAAACTTGTTAAAATAATCTGAATTATTTTATTGAACTTATTGACTGTATGATTTGTAATGCATAATGAATGTCATATAATTGATTGATCTAATAAGACTTATAAACAATATCAAACAATTAGTTACTATGCAAATCAATCAATATGTAACGAATAATAAGTATATCAATCATCCCTAAGTATAATAGATATTCATCATTAAAAAAATCATATTTCTCTAATATTTTATTTAAACATCATAAGTATTACTTATTATTGTAATTTATAAAATAGATTTTCCCAACTTTTTTTTTCTAATTTAGTCATTTATATAAATATGTAATTAGGAATTTATTTCTCATTCATCACAACTTATAAAATAACATGTATAATTTCGATGAAATTACTATTTAGAAATTTGTATTCTATAAATTACATGTTATTAATGATATTGATGTATATATCTGAATTGATATAATACAAATTGTATAGAAACTATGAATTTAAGTTGTTGTTGTCGTCGTCGTCGTCGTTCCTCTTCTTTCATTTATTATTTTGTAGTTATCAGAATATTGAATAGAGATTTAGGTGAAACTATAATTTATGGACGACCTTTGAGTGACGCGAAAATGACCTAATAACTAGGACCAAATGAGGGTTATAAATCAATACGAGGAATTAAAATTATGATTTACAGTTGATAGTTATGGTTAGGAATTCGATGAAGGGTTTTCATCACAAATTGACATCAACTATAATGCCAAAACTTTATTTAACCAAATGGATGGGTGAATTTTGCATCAAAATCCAAGATCTGTTATCTTATACTTGATTGGTTCATCTATAAATTATAATCTCGTTAAAATTTAAGTAAAATGTAAATATATTTACTTGTAAACGTGTGAATTTTCTCTTTCAAACTTTATTAAAATATCAAATTGTAAGTTCAACAGTAATACCAGATAGTTGTATACTACTGACTATCTATAAAGTAGAATGAAAACTCTATCTACTTCCTTTAATTGTTTAATGATACTTAGGTTAAGTTCACGAAATAAAACAAGATATTGTTTTATATAAAGAAAAAGAACTAATATAATAATTTATATTTTTGTCATTATTTAATAATTAATATTATCAGGGTGAATAGATTTCAGCCGATGTAAATAAAAGAAGAATAACGATCGTAACAGTTTGATATGAATCCATCAAATCTGTACATTCCTTCCATTTGCTTAAAATCTACGAGAAGAAAAGACAAAACAGTACACATACTTTCATTTATAATATTGGAACAATTCAAATCGAAGAAAGGTTTTGGAAAAGTGTATGAAACCTTCTACATTTTAAAAATTTAATTTATTTTCTTAATTAACCATTAACGTTTTTGTCATAAAGCATGTATATTGTATAGCCTAGAACATTATAATATATGACATTAATGATGAAAAATGTATTTGTAAAAGGTTTAGCGAATGAATTCAACGTTTTGCCTGACGACGTTTTACAAGACGAATCGTTGGATTTACTTCAAATTCATTCCCTGAGATTTCACAAATATATTCTTCCTCATTAATGTCACATATCAACTTGATACCTAAAGACTGTGAAACTATTTGATCAAATCTAAACGAAATTTCTTATATGTTATAATCTATGGTTATAGTTAGTTATACCTTTTGGAAATAAAGAAAATGATAGAAATGAATTAATTATGTATTTGTTAATAAACAGTTAATTTTCATAAAGATTATAAATAACTTGCGGTTATATTTTATTTGATCTAATATTAATATACAAGACAAGTCAAATAATAATGAATATAAATTCCATTATAAATTAAGTATAGTTTATTATTATCTTGGTTAATTTCTATCTTGAATTGTAATGAAGTTGTTTACAAACTGTAATTTTTGTTGTTGGTAATTTTATTTGTGTTAAGGTTCCTTTTGTTTAAATAAAATAAATTATCACATTAAATTATGTACATTATATTATTAATCAACTTTTGTTTTAAATACAAAGCCTAGAAGAATATACCATATAACATCATTTACTATTTATGTGTTGCTAAGGTTAATACAGAATTGAATAATGTACAGTTAAATGAGTATTAATTAATAAATAATTTATATAATGTGAAATTGTGCTTCTCTTTTTGTTTAATAATTTTGTTTTGATGCTAGAAGTTGATTTTGTAAAAAAAATCTATGAGTGGATATTTGTCACACATATATGTTAACTTAGGTAGCTTCAACTGATGCTGAACTCATTACAATTTATGATTTAGCACTGAATCGTTGATTGTCGTTTTGAACGACTATATCACAGACAACTGCAAATTTAATTGAGTATTTTAAAATTATACACTCAATGCTAAGTTAATTCAACTTTATTACATAATATTTAAATCTTAGAATTATCCTTTTATGTAAATGTAGATTTTTTTGGTTGAAAAAATAATTCATTTAGGGATCATTTACTCTATCTAAACTACTTAATTTCTTCAAATACCGGTAAAACCAAAAGAATCAATTCGAAAAACGTTTTCCTTGTTATGAATATTCTAAACAACTAAACTAATCAAACCACAACAACAACATTTAATATACTTAGGATTGGTCACGTGAATATATTTGAAGTATAATGATAAGATTCATAGTGAGATTTGAATCCGATACCTTGCAATTCATAAGCTTATGTGTTATACATTAGATTCAAATAGTCGCTAACATGTTTCAACTTACTAAATGTAGGTTATGCATAAAAGTATTTTATTTTTATTTAGTCACTAAAATATTAACAAATTAAATAATCCGAATTAAAGGATTCAATAAATGTTTCAAACATTTACTAAAATTAAGTATATAATATCTACTTACAAAATATACGTTTGACTAACATGTTCAAGCAGTTAACGCTGGCCATATAAAAGATAAAATATTTACTTTGTTTGTAAGAAGAAAAAAAAGAGAATTTTCCATCAGTAAATTATAATTGATGTTATACTGGAATTGTCAACTTCATTCGCTTACTGACTATTACTTTTATACATAAACGGTTAAAGGAATAATTTATAATGAAAGTAAATTGAAGGGATTTATATATATATATCAGAAGGGGTTTCGTGGAAATTGTAGTAGTTTCAACAATTGAGTCAATTGAAGCTTGACCACCATGGATACAAAAATTAAACACAACACTAAAACATACATAGTTTAGACAAAATTGACCATACCATTCACTGAATGAATGAATTAGTGTGACGCATATATATTTGGTGCCCCTTTGTACTAATATTTATATGTTCAAATAAATAAATAAATTGATAAATGAATTAGTTGACAATTATGTTTATTCAGATCAATTTTATTCCTTAAAACATTTTAGATGAACTAAATTAATCTTACATAATATTTTTTTGTATATAATGAACTTTACTTGTATTCGGTACATGATTTAATGAATTAAAATTTGTGATATAAAATATTAGAAGAGATTTTATGAATATTATAATTACTTCAGTGGTTAAGATCATAAGTCCAGTGGTTTATCTTCAACTGATTCATGATCTTAATCATTGAAATCCATATAAAATATTCTTAAATATTAAACAATTTTAAAATGTATACAATAAAATTTTAGTTAACTACATAGTGTTAATTTTATTATTATTTTTTCAATAAAAAAATTAGTTTAGTTGTCATGTTGAAATTTATTAAACAACAATTTAATTAAATAATTAATTGGATTGTTTATTACATAATAATCATTTATTAAGAAAAATTCTATAATGAAATTCTTTACATATTTTTATGTGAATATTCTCAGGATAGATGTTTTTTTTAAAAATTGAATATTTACTTAATTTCATTATAATTACCAGTATTCAATTTATTTGTCAAAGATATCCGGAATAAGTATAATGATAAGTAAGTCCATTAATTAACAAATTTATC